CAGACTTACATAAGCGGCCCAGAGTCAGAGTCACATCAGGGTCGAACACACCAACAACACAATCCCACAGACCTGGAACAAACCAACCAATCACAGACTCCAGAAACAAGGCATTCGGTGTTTTGAGTCCAGAGGGAAGCTCTGAGGAGCCGCATGACGCTTTCACTCCAGACGGAAACACAGTGACTGTGAAGGAGTCATTCTTCACATCGCACAAATCTGCAACTCCTCTGAAGCAACTGCATCGCAAAGCAACGCCAAACACGCTTCTCAAACACAGACGCTCGGCATCTGTCTGCAGGACTTAACGAGATTACAACATCTCATTCCAACTGTTATTCAGCAGCCCGATGCTAATTAAAACCAGACTGGACGAGCGTCAAACACTCAAATCATACCAGCAGCATCCTGAGGAATATACTACTAATGCATAACATGAAAAAAGATCCAATATTGTTGTCAACTCACCTTACTACATCAATTCAGCAAGTCATTTCAGCAGTGTTGTTATTGTGATGTAAAGCTAAATCTATTAAAAATATTTTTATTATTTGAAATAAAAAAATCTAAGATAAAAAACTTAAATATTTAAAATGATAAATGTTGAAGACGTTTTTATTTTACAAAATTGTTTTAGATTTCTTTTTTTATAAATGCTTTAACAGCTAAAAATAAGTTAGGGCTAAGGTTAGTTGAAGTACAAAAATGACAACCTAAAATAAAAATACATTAAAGCTAAATAGAAATTAATAAAAAAAAACTAATAAAAATGACAAAAGAAAAAAAAATACAAAAAAAAGAAATTCAAAAAAATATTGGGTTAAGGTTAAAGTAAAATTACAAAAACTAAAAAATAAAGCCAAATAGAAATTTAATTAAACCAAAAAGAGAAAAAAAAAAGACAAACACATAAAACAAAATTACTGAAAAAAGAAAAAGTATATAAAGCTAAACTGTATAAAATAATAAAGCTAGATAAAAATTACATAAAATTAAATAGACCAAAAAAAAAAAAAATTTGACAAAAGCACTAAACAAAATAACTAAAATAAAATGTTTAGAAAACTTTCAAACCGTAACTAAAACATACATAATGCTGCCTTCATGCCATGTAACTCCAAGATGACATGTTCTCTGACTCAGAGGTAGCTCCTAAACGAATCTGGTCCAAGCTGTAGCTCTCAGAACATTCGGAGTAATTTTAATTACTTACAAGCTGTAATTATGAGTTCTGGAGCACGTGAAGGCTTTGGCGTTGATGGTGTTGCATAGAAACACATAATTCAGCTCAGAGTAGAATGTCACGTGTTGTCATCTCGGAATTACGGTAATTAGACAACATGGCGTGAAGGCAGCTTAAAGCTAAAAGAAATGTAACACAAATAATAATAATATAAAAAAAACTAATGAAAACGCCAAAAGTGCAAAACAAAATGACTAAACCTTAAACTAAAATTAAAACTGAAAATAAAAAATATTAATAAATACCATAACAGTAACATTGCATTACAGGAATACATTTTTAAAAATAAATTTCTATATTGTATAGAGTCAAGACAGAGATTGTGGTATTTGTCACACAGAAAGCGTTGTGAAGGTCTGGTTCTCGGTGATCTGAGGCGTCTGGATCCCATCCATCATTACATAAACATATAGTAAGAACATGTAGCTAATTAATATTACTCAGTACGTAAATGTATAATTACACTGTAACAAGGATGCCTTAAAATAAAGTGTAACCATTTAATGCATTTACCATTTGCCCTTCATAAAGGTGTGAGAAAAATAATTATTAAATAAATTGTCACAAATTAATTTATATGCAGAAAACAAAATACAAATAAAAGATTAAGAGCAAAACCTTAAACTTAATTGTTAAAATTAGACTCATTTAAAAATAGAAACTGGAATTAAAATACGACTCGGAGATGTTTCCTCAGCAATTAACTAAAATAAGTTTTAGTTGAAGTTCTGGAATTAGTCAAATAGAAATAAAAATAAATTCAAGCTAAATAGAAATAAAAACGAATTCGAGCTAAATAGAAATAGGAACGAATTCGAGCTAAATAGAAATAAAAACGAATTCGAGCTAAATAGAAATAGAAACAAATTCAAGCTAAATAGAAATAAGAATGAATTCGAGCTAAACAGAAATAAAAGTGAATTCGAGCTAAATAGAAACAGGAACTAATTCAAGCTAAATAGAAATAAACTCGAGCTAAATAGGAATAGAAATAAATCCGAGATAAATAGAAATAAAAATAAATTCAAGCTAAATAGAAATAAATTCGAGCTAAATATAAATAAATTCGATCTAAATAGAAATAAATTCGATCTAAATAGAAATAAATCCGAGCTAAATAGAAATATAAATAAATTCAAGCTAAATAGAAATAAAAAAGGCAAAAGCACAAAAAATGCTACCTGAACTAAAAAAATGAAAATATTAAAAATAAAAGTTAAATCAAAATATACACAAGTACTATAACTGTATTTAGTACACAAAACTCATTAATACTCAACTGATTACCAAAGAAAATACTCAAAATACTCAGTAGCTTTTGATAAAGCATGGATATTTTTGCTAAAACATTAATTCATCCACGTAAACAGATTTGTGAATTAAAGGCCTCACTTCTTTTATGTTGTAAATAATCCTGTGTTTATGACAAATTCATATGTAGAAAATGAAATATAAACATTAGATGAAAATCTAAAACTTTTAACTGAAAACTTTTGAGCACTAAAATGACTAAAGCAGAAATGGACAAAGCTAAATATAAATGACTAATAAAAATGACAGAAACGAAATGAATAAAACCTAAACTAAAATTAAAGTGAAAACTAAAAATATAAAAACAAAAACATTATTAAATAGTACTATAGTATATCAATTAAAATACTAAATAATAATAAAATGATTTGTCTACCCAAATGCATGACTGTACATGCATGTCCTTGTTTTTACAGTCTGAGGATTTGTAATAAACCGCTCATCACAGATACAGACTGAGTGTGTGAACAGCACAAACACACGCCTGATGAGGTCACTTCCTGCCACAGGCTCCGCCCCCCCAGTGACCACACACTCCATGCTGGTCAGATGGAATGATTTATTCATAATCATGGTAGAATATTAAAACAATGAACATCGAAAGCACTGACACGTTACTCAAGGCCTCTCTGAGCATGCATGAGTCCATCTGACGCTCACTTCTTAAATAGATTTTAATATAAAACAGACCGACGCAGTAAGAGTTGTGATGGACTGACCCTCCCAGTCCACTAGAGGGAGTGTGTGTGTGTGTGTGTGTGTGTGTGTGTGTGTGTGTGTGAGATAGCAGGCACATGAGCTCAGCTGGGATGTGTGTGTGTGTTGTGTTTCCCAGCTCATCGCCTCAGTTCAGTCTGGCGCTAGTGAACACAAACCCCGTCTCGTCGCAGATGACAAATCAACAAATACAAACATTAAAAAAAGACCCATTTTAAAAAAGAAAGAATAAAAAGACGTCAGAGGAACACAGGCACTGCTCTGTCAACTCCAGCAGGCACTTCGATACACACACTCACACTCTCTCTCTCTCACACACACACACACACACACACACTCACACTCTCACACACACACTCTCACTCTCACAGCGATGGATCTCATTAAGAACACGAGCAGCTCACAATTCACCACAAAATCAAAAGGAAAACAATTCTTGCATTAAAAAAATGAAGGAGCATTCCGATTTTTTGCATAATGCCAATTAATTATTTCTTATGACTCTAATGCAAAAAAACATACTTGTACATGATGGCAGTAAAAATTATGGAAGCTTGTTTCTGCCACAACATTAAAAAACATTAAGTAACTGTAAATTTAAATCTCACAATTAAGAACTTTTTCAGATATAACCTCAGAATTGCGAGATGAAGTTGCAATTTTCTTTTCTGTGGCAGAAACAAACAGAAGAATTGTGACATAAAAAGTCACAATTAGCAGAATTTGCAAGATGTAAACTTGGATTTGCGAGAAACTCAGAATTCTGACTTGATATCTCAGAACTGCAAGAAAAAAGTCAGAATTGTGAGATTAAGAAGATGCATTTACCTTTTTTTTTTATCCCATGATATAAATAGAATCGTGAGAAATAAAAAAAATTCCAAATTGTGAGATAAAAGTAACAATTACCTTTATTTTTTTATTCCATGTTGGAAACAGGCTTTCAAAAAAAAAAAAAAAAAAAAAAAAAAAAACACCATTGTTTTATATGATGTAAAAAATGTATAAATTTTTCTTCCTACTTTTGAAGGAGGAAAAAAAAAAATGTGTATAATAACTTTTGCATTAAATTCATGAAAATTGCATTTTTTACTATATTATTTTATGCTAATTTAAATTTTATTTAAGTCTTTGTAACACAATGTTTTATTATTAAGAATACAGTAACAGTATAACAATCATCATTGAGAATAATGAGAACTACAAAATAAAATCTGGATGTATAACATTAATTATTATATTGAAAATAAAGAAAAAAAGAGAAACATGTTGAAAAGCATGTTATCGATTCCAAAAAAACACTTATTGTTCTGACAAACAGGCTTTGTTACTTTTAATGCAAAATACAACTTTACATTTTTTTATTTTGATTTTGGTGTGAAATATGACTTGCGTTTTTTCATGAGCGAGAGAGAAAAACAGCAGCGGAGGAAAAGACCAGCCTTCCCTCACTGATGCCACGAGCAGAACGGAGAAGCAAAGGAGAAGAGGAGCGAATACTGCTGCACACACACACACAAACACACACACACACACACTCTCTCACATACACACACACAAACACACACACACACACTCTCACACGCACACACACTCTCACACGCACACACACTCACATGCACACACACACACACACACAGACACTCTCACACGCACACACACTCTCTCTCTCTATCTCTGTCTCACACACACACACACACTCGCACTCTCACTCACACACACACACACACTCTCACACGCACACACACTCTCACACACACACACACACACACGTCAGTGTGTTCCTCCTCTCATTGGGTCGGGTCGGGTCACGAGAGAGCGTCCAGATCAACAGTCCAGTCCACAGCAGAGAGTGTGGAGCACAGTAAGGTTTGTTAGTGATGTTCCTCACAGGTGCAGCTCTTTGGCTCTGATGTGCTGCAGCTTCTCACGCAGCAGACGGAACGAGGGTCGTCCTGCGGGGTCCAACGTCCAGCACTGCTTCATCAGGTCATAGACGGCGGCCGGACAGCCGTCAGGAGCCTCCATCTTATAGCCCTTCTCCACCCGCGGCACCACCTCCTTCAGCGGCTGCAGAGAGACCACAGACAGAGCTGAGACTGCCCTCTGCTGGACACACGCAGAACCACAGACAGCACACACTTACCCACGCACACAACACATGACTTTAACACTCCAAATTAAAAAAAGTTATATAAGTATCTCTTATAACATTCAAGAAATGAAAACATCATATTTGTGAGCCTGGAGCACAAAAGCAGTGTTAAGTCGCTGGGGTATATTTGTAGCAAAAGCCAACAATACATTGTATGGGTCAAAATTGTACATTTTTATTTTATGCCAAAAATCATTAGGATATTAAGTAAAGATCATGTTCCGTGAAGATATTTTGTAAATGTCCTACCATAAATATATCAAAACTTAATTTTTGATTAGTAATATGCATTGCTAAAAACTTCATTTGGACAACTTTAAAGATGATTTTCTCAATATTGATTTTTTTTTTTGCACCCTCAGATTCCAGATTTTTCAAATAGTTGCGGCTGCAATATAACAAAGAGTGAAAAATTTAAGGGGGTCTGAATACTTTCCGTACCCACTGTATATATATATATAGTATTTTCTGGAAAATAAGTATATTAATTCCTTTCACTCTATAACAAATCCTTTAAATGTAACAATATTCAGAAGAGGAATGAAATCTATATGTATAAAGCAAAAATTATAATGACATTCATAAGAAACAACATCTATTATGAACGTCAAGCCTAAATGAATGTATTTAAAGCAAAACTGAAACCAGCATACTTATATATATATATATATCAAAACAATGAAAGTCTTACAATTCTGGGGTACGGCACGCGGCCGAAAGAGTAAATCTCCCACAGCAGAACGCCGTAACTCCACACGTCAGATTTAGTGGAAAACTTCTGTGAAAACACAAGAGAAAAACCTATAAATGACATGAAACTATTACTGAAGAGATTCTCTGAAAATAAAAAGCGTTTCACGTCAGGAGTGATGCAACAAAGCTCCACAAATCACTGTCGAACAGAAAAAAGTTCACAAACTACAGCAAAAGCGAATCATTCACATGCTTTAAATGCTAAATATGGTCTTATTGCACAATCAACATCCATCTAGGGGTGTGCGATATTGACAAAAAATTATATCTCGATATTTTATGGGATTTTATCGATAACGATAATTAGACGATATTTTGCTGAGTGTGTTATTGTGCTGGTACCTTAAGGACTGCCGAAGACAGCTGACTCCTAATGTTTTTAATATTCTTCATATTCTGTGTGGTGGTCAGTTCATACTGATAGAAATTAATCTTTTCCAATAAGTTTAAACTGATTTTTGCATTTTATGGGCATTTTTACCTTTATAAAGCCATTTTTTCTAAAAGTGTCCATTATCTTTTGAGCCAAATTCTTACATTTAATCAGGGAATTAGAATAAGACATTTGGGCTGTTACC